GCTGAGGCGGAAGGATTGCCGGAGCCCAGCAGGTCGAGGCTGCGGTGGCCGGGAGCATGCCACTGCACTCCTGTCTGGGTGACGGAATGAGACTCCAACTCAAAAAAAAAGCAAACAAATAATGACAACATCACCAACAATCACTAAAACAATTGGTTATCTGTGCTAAGATGTAGGTAACCTGGGACAGTGGGAGCACAGAGGAAGCACCTAACCTAATCCAGCCTTGGTGTCAAGGAAGGCAAAGACAGGTTGGGTTTGGCTGGAGAAGCACAAGTGAGAAGTGGGAAGGACACTCCAGGCAGGGAAACAAGTTCTGGAGTCACTCAGCAGTAGGATTAGGGAATGACCTTTCCTATGATTTGATGACTGATTTTCTCTGAGCTCCCAGCATTAGTTTTCCAATATGTGAAGTGACTATGATCATTTGTTTCTTTGAATAATGAAAGAAGAGAAAGCATGGAGGCGGGCCTGCAAGAGTGCCTGGTGCTTGCTCATGTTGCTGTTTGCTGTTTTGTGTGTAAAGAATACTCACAGGAACCAGAGCTGTCACTGATGGTGGGGTGTAGACAGCTCATTGACCCAGGACGGAACAGCAGGGGAGTGGGCATACCCAGACCCAAGGTATGTTTCTCCAGGATGGACTGTCTGTGGAGGATGGGGCACAGTGCTAAATTGGGGCAGGAGGCAGGATCCCAGAGTAAGTGTCTCTGCCCTATAAGACCTGGCATTCTAGATGTCTACACAAAAATAACCTCTACTTTAAAAAGCTAAAAGGTGGGGCTAGCTCTGTCCTACTGTGATAGGTTTTAAGGATCTGATTAAGATGTTAATGGATCATTCCTAAATCATGAGGCTAGTCCTCTCAGGTGATGGTTGTTAATGCAGCAAGTGAGAATCAGGAAAATTAAATAACAGATTTCAAAATTTCAAACCCAGAGGCAGTGCTAGAATTCAATCCCAGATCTTGACTCAAGACTTCATGTCTTCACCAGATGGACATTTAGAAAAACGTCCTGAACACCATGGTCAAATGGAAGTGAATTCCAACTTTCCAACTGGTCCTGGAAGCTAAGGACTACTCCTGGGGGAGGGACGTGGAAATGAGGGTGGGGTTGAAACAAAGGCTTCCTGGAGGAGGTGACCCCAAGGGAGAGCCGCTTATAGTAGACACTCATTAAATGATGATAAAACAAATGGAGTTAGTAGATGGAGAAATGGGGGTATGAGCATTCCAGGTAGAGACAATACGGGGCCACTGGGCAGAGGTCCAAAGGAAGACTCACAGTACCTTGGCATATTAATGTGGACAGGGGTAGCAGTCTGCCCACATGCAGGCTACAGAAGTGCATATCTATAGAACTTAAAAATTACATATCCAACTAAAAGTTAGTTTAAGTTCTTAATAATTGCTGTAGATATTAAGTTTTATTAATACATGTGAGTTTCACATTAGCACGTTTTTATTACACATCTTTTTTTTTTTTTTGAGTTGGAGTCTCACTCCGTCACCCAGGCTGGAGTACAGTGGCATACTCAAGGCCACCCCAGCGTCGAGCTTCTGGGCTCTGGTGATCCTTCTGCCTCAGCCTTCCAAGTAGCTGGAACTACAGGCATGTGCTACCACTCCTGGCTAATTTTTTGATTTATTGAAGAGACGAGGGGGTCTCACTAAGTTGCCCGGGCTGGTCTTGAACCAACAGGCTTAGTCAATCCACTCACCTCAGTCTTCCAAAGTGTTGAGATTATAGGTTGAACCACTGAGTCCGGCCTATTACACATCCTTTAATGAACATTGTATTATATTTGGAAGTTAATTTGCAGAATACCCAGTTATACAATCATCCCAGCATACATTTGGAGCTCATTTTTAGGGCTACATCTTTTACCCTTGTGGTATTAGATACACCCGCATTTCCACAATAGATTCAATATAATCATGTCTTACTGCCATTGATGATAAAGACAAAGAAACAGAGTTCGACCTACTTCAATTTTATCACTTTATGTAACCAGTCAGAGTTCTGTGTTAAAATTGAAAACAGTGAAACAGAATGCAAACTTTTTTTGTTTGGTAAGTGAAAATTTTAATTTGTGTACAAGTTTTTAAAAAAACTGGGTTGGACACAGTGGCTCACACCTGTAATCCCAGTGCTTTGGAAGGCCAAGGTGGGGGATCACCTTGAGTCCAGGAGTTAGAGACTAGCCTGCGAAACATAATGAGATCTTGTCTCTACAAAAAACACAAAAAAATTAGCCAAGCATGGTAGTGGCTAATTAAGTCTTAGCAACTTGGGAGACTGAGACAAGAAAATTGCTTGAGCCTGGGAGTTCAAGGCTGCAGTGAGCTATGATTATGCCACTGCATTCCAATCTGGGTGACAGAGACAGACCCTGTCTCTCAAAAAAAAAAAAATTAAAAGGAAATAATTTACTGAATTTGAATATGAATTTATCTTTAACATGAAAATCTATTCCTTTAAAATTGTTAATTGTTTTAAAATGAAGGATGAGACTGGGTGTGGTAGCTCAACCTGTAATCACAGAACCTTGGGAAGCCGAGGTGAGAGGATTGTCTGAGCCTAAGGGTTCAAGACTAACCTGGGCAACTTGGTGAAGCCTCGTTTCTACAATAAATCACACAAAAAAAACTAGCTGGGTGTAGTGGCATGCTTCTGTAGTTCCAGTTACTTGGAAGGCTGAGGCGGAAGGATCGCCTAAACCCAGCAGGTTGAGGCTGCAGTGACCATGAGCATGCCACTGCACTCCAGTCTGGGTGACAAGAGTGAGACTCCAACCCAAACAATAAAAAAATAAAATAAAATGAAGAATGAATAAGGACATGTTGAATCAGTGGTGCAATTTTTTTTTGAGTTGGAGTCTCACTCCGTCGCCCAGACTGGAGTGCAGTGGCACACTCCCAGCCACCGCAGCCTTGGCCTGCTGGGCTCCGGCGATCCTTCCGCTTTAGCCTTCCAAGTAGCTGGAACTACAGGCGCATGCTACCATGCCTGGCTAATTTTTTGATTTATTGTAGAGATGAGGTCTTGCCAAGTTGCCCAGGCGGGTCTCGAACCCGTGGCCTCAGGCAATCCACTCATCTCAGCCTCCCAAGGCGCGGGATTACAGGCTGAGCCACCGAGCCTGGCTCAGTGGTGCAATTTAGCAGTCACCTAAATTGTATCTTTTCCAGATGTTTTGTTTTATTAAAATTTACTTGTTGATACCTGGATGATAATTTATATAAAGTAGTTTATTCGACCATAACGAAAGGATCAAAATTTAAACAGGTGGATGTAAAAGTGAAATAAATAGTTTTGCCTTTTTCATTTTTTGGAACCATATTATTAATTTTATATATTCTTTATTTATTTTACTGGTGTGAGTATGTACCTACAAAGTTTTGTAAAAGAAAAACTTACTTCTGTTTTTCTTTTTCTGGTTATTATTGTTTTATTTCATGATCATTTGCAAACATGAAATTTGAATTATGAAAACAATTTTATGTTATAGAGGAGAGGGTTAAAAGGTGATTTTTCTCGATGTGTCAAATATAATTCATTTCACAAATATTTCCTAAATGCCACGTTGGGATAAACACCAAGCATTTGGGAACTGGAAAAGGAACCAAATGGGAGTCAGAAATGGCCCAGGAGGTGATTCCGGAGCTGAGAGCTGAGCAGGTAGGCTCAGAATCCCAGCCATCACTTCTCCAGGGCTGTTTTCAGACCCACTCCTGCTAGTAGCTGGAGACCCTAAGATACATAAAACTCTTCCTTCCCCACCAGTTATGATAGAGCAAATGTCCCTGCTCTCACCAAAGGTCCACTTGTCTACCTGTACATGTCCTGTCCTTTCTTGACTCATCAGTGACTTTGCTCCTGTAGTTAAGCCCTCTGTTTCCATATAGTTTCTCCTTTGGCTCATGCCTCCCCATCAGTCTATTATACGTCCTTCCTTAACACCTTTCCAACTGCCACCTCTTTTCTCTGCTCTTGTTCACACAAGACCCCTGACCTCATGAGGTGGTGGAGGCTTTCCTCTTGGCAGAGGCTCTCTGCACTGCCTCTCTCTCCAGCCTCCTTCCCTGATTTCTCCACTCTGAGGTGTAGGAGGCCTAACTGGAGTCTGACTGAGACCTTGGTGTCCCCAGCCCTTACTTGGGTCAAACCGATGCACAGACTGGAAGGGAAGGGATAGGTTGAATGGTGCGGACACAATTACTTTGAGAAGTAGTAAAAGTTTGAGTTGCCCTGCCAGTGACCCTGACCCGGTGGGGGCATGCTGAGTACCAGTGGGTAGCCCGGGGCTGGGGGGCGTGGGGCAGCTACAGGGTGGGGCGGGGTGGGGCCTTGACTCCTCCCCCGGGCGCGCAGTAAGTAGAAGCTGAGCAGTGATTGTGGCGTAGTGGTGCCCAGACACCTGTCTGCGACACCGCAGTGGGGCGGGTCTCCTGTCTGGACTGAAGTGAGTCTGGACCCCACACAGTTGGATGTACAGCCGATCTCAGGCTGAGATGGAGCAGGAGGCTGAGGAGCTGAGACAGTGGCAGGCTCCGCACCAGGAGGCACCGGTGAGTCGGGGCCCATCCCGAGGCTGGCTGGAGCCCAGGACCAAGCTGGGGGTGGCGGAGCGTAGCGAGTGGAGAAAGCGGGAGGGGGAGCTGAGATATCCGAGGGAGGGGGCTAGGAAAAGGAGGGGTGGGAGCTCTAGCACGAAAGCCTTCCGTCATTTATTCAATGAATATCCATCGAGCATTAGAGCTTGTGTTGGGCACTTGGAGTAAAAAAGCTTCAGGGAACTTCCTGGAGAGGGACTTGGGTACTCAGGAAAGCAAAGACATAGTTAGGAAGTCCGTGGGAAACGACAGGAAGAAAACAACCTGAATATTTATTGGCGCCCTACTAAGTGGTAGGCGTTTGCCAGACCCTGGAAATACGATGGTGAATTTACCATAGGACAATATATCATAGCATTTTATTAATAAACCATTTGCTGTCCGGGCTCGGTGGCTCAGCCTGTAATCCCGCGCCTTTGGGAGGCTGAGGTGAGTGGATTGCCTGAGCCTGCGGGTTCGAGACCCGCCTGGGCAACTTGGCGAGACCTCATCTCTACAATAAATTAAAAAAAAAATCAGCCGGGCGTGGTAGCGCGTGCCTGTAATTCCGGCTACTCGGAAGGCTGAGGTGGAAGGATCACCGGCGCCCAGCAGATCGAGGCTGCGGTGGCCGGGAGGGGCCGTTGCACTCCAGTCTGGGTGACAGAGTGAGACTCCAACTCAAAATAAATAAAAATAAAAATAAATCATTCGCTGGATGATTGCAAGTGTACCGATTGCTGTGAAGAGGTAGGGGAGGGACGCATAGGAACAAATAGCAGAGGTGTTTTATCTGACTTAGGAGGTTTAGCAGCCAAAAAGCTGAGAATTAATTTGGTCTGGGGCTAGAGGACTGGTTCGGTGAAGGGTTAGGCAAAGGTATGCCCCTACTTAGGAGCAACTGAAAGATGAACTCTTAGCTGGGCATGGTGGTGCGTGCCTGTAGTTCCAGCTACTTGAAGGCTGAGGCAGAAGGATCTCCTGAGCCCAGCAGGTCGAGGCTGTGGTGGCCGGGAGCGTGCCACTGCCCTCCAGCCTGGACAACAGAGTGAGACTCCAACTCAAAAAAAGAAAAAGAAAGAAAGGTGAGCCAAGGGGAAGCCAGGACACCATTGAGGTCATCCTGGGCTTGAGTTGGTTATTCCAAAAACAGTAGGAAGCCGCTGATAAGATTAAGCATTATTTGTGTCATTTAGATTTGCATTTTTTAAGGAGTCCCCTGGTGCATATGGGCTGGATTTGACATAATTGGCCTCGGCAGTGGCTCATGCCTGTAATCTCAGCACTTTGGGAGGCCCAGGCAAGAGAATTGCCTGAGCCCAGGGGTTCTAGACCAGTCTCTGGGCAACTTGGCAAAACCTCAAAAAGAAAAAAAAAAAGGAAGCTATTGTGATAATCCAAGTACAAGTTCAAATGGCAGCCTAACTAGAAAGGTGAGAGTGGAGATGAAGAAATTAAATATATTTGGAGATGTTTGGGAGGTATAGACCACAAGAATTGGTTTCTACATAGTTAGGGAGGCTTTGAGTGTAACTTAACAAATTTCTTGCTTATACAATTGGGTGAAAATAGTGGTGATATTTTCTGAGGGAGCAAAAGATGAAAAAGAAACAGAATTAATAGATTTTTGGTGGGGGAGGGGAATGGGCAAGATGATTGTGAACTTTGGGCATAGTCGGTTGGAAATACCTGTGGGCTAACCAAATGGACCCGAGCGGTAGGCAGCTAAAAAATTCAGGAGCGATCATCCATGAATTACAGACTTAGAATAACTGGAATAAAAACAAATGGATCCACTAGCACGGGAAAGACTGCCAGAGAGGGCAGCGAAAGGCAAACCTGCAAGTGAGACTGAGAAGGAGGGGGCCAGAGAGAAGGAAAGAGTGTACTAGGGAGGCAAAGGAATACATTAAATGTATCAAGTGCAGTGGGGCAGCTCCTTCAGGTCCCCTCTCACTGTGGGAGTTTTTTCTGTCCTCTCAATAAATCCTTATATCTCAAAAAAAAAAAAAAAAAAATGCAGCCAATAGACTCAAGCTCCCAAGAGGTCAAGAAAGGAGTCTGGAAAGTGCTGCTTGGATGTAGTGAGATGTAGGTCATCTGTGACTTTTAGGAAAGCTGATTGTGCAGAGAAATGGAGGCCAGAGCAAATTTGGGAGAATAAGGTGAGGCAGTGATGAAAGTGTGTTTAGACAACGCTAAATGAGTTTGCCATGAAGGACTGGGAAAACGAGGGCCATGGCTGACAGGGAAGGAAAAGAGGCTGAGCACCCCAGGAATACCCATCCAATAGCCATTTATCTGGTTCCTATTATATGCCTACCTTATGCTAATTGCTGAGCATATGGTAGTGATTAAACAGATAGGGCCGGGCAGGAGGCTTGAGGTAGGAGGATCGCTTGAGGCCAGGAGTTAGAGACTATAGTGCAATATGATCACACCTGTGAGTAGCCACTGCATTCTAGCCTGGGCAACATAGCAAGAGCCTGTCTCTAAAAATATATAATATAAAATAAAGTAAAACAATATCTCCTCAACTCTTCTGGGGTTTAAAAAAAATGTTTTCCTCTATAGTCAAAACAAGATAATCAAACCTAATTTCTTTTTCTTTTTTTTTTTGTAGTCAAGTCAGAGTCTCACTCTGTTGTTGCCCAGGCTGGAGTGCAGTGGCACGCTGCTCACGGCAACAGTCTTGACCTGCTGGGCTCAGGTGATCATTCTGCCTCAGCCTTTCAAGTAGCTGGAACTACAGGCCTGTGTCACCATGCCCAGCTAATTTTTTGACTTATTGTAGAGATGAGGTCTCATTTGTCCAGACACCTCTTGAACCTACGGGCTCAGGCAATCCTCTCACCTCAGCCTCCTGAAGTGCTGGGATTATAGGCGTGAGCCACTGTGCCCGGCTAACCTAATTTCTTTAAATCATCTTAGATGCAATCCATACTCAAATTCCCCTATTTTTGTCCTAAAAGGTCGCTTGCAGCTGGTATATCCAAGTCAGATCCAATTTAAGACCACATGCTACATCTGGTTATGTCCTTGTAGTTTCTTTGAAATTAGAATAGTTTTCTTTTATGAATGACGTTTAGTTTTTCATGATCCTAACTATTGTCTTTTAGAATATTCCTTCCGTATTTATCAGATTGCTTTCTCATGGTATAATTTAGCTTAATGTTCTATCTCTTGTATTACCTCTGGATTAGAGTTATTATTATTATTGAGACAGTCACTCTGTCACCTGGCCTGGAGTTCAGTCTTACAATCATAGCTCACTGCAGCCTCAAACTCCTGGTTCAAGGGATCTTCTTGACTGTATTTTGTAGAGACAGAGGCCTCACCATGTTGTCCAGGCTGGTTCCAAACTCCTGGACTCAAGCAGTCCTCCACCCTCGCCTCCCAAAGTGCTGGGATTATAGATGTGAGCCACCAAGCCCAGACTAGAGTTAGATTTTTTTTTTTTTTAGTAGGAGTGTCACTCTGTCACCCAAGCTGGAGTGCAGTGGCATATTCACAGCCACTGCAGCCTCGACTTGCTGGACTCAGGCGATCTTTCTGTCTCAGCCTTCCAAGTAGCTGGAACCACAGGAGTGCACCACCGTGACCAGCTAATTTTTTGATTTATTGTGGAGACAAGGTCTCACCATGTTGTCCAGGCTGGTCTCGAACTTGTGGGCTCAGGCAATCCTCCTACCTCAGCCTTCCAAAGTGCTGGGATTACAGGTATGAGTCACTATGCCCGATTTAGAGTTAGATCTTAAGGCTTAATTGGATTCAGGATATTTGGTAAGAATGCCTCATAGGTACGGTAGGCTTCATCTTGTATTATATCAGGGGACGTCTGGCTACCCATATCTGGTGATACTAGGCCTGATCCTTGTTGAGGTAGCAAAAAGCCCAACTGATCTCTATGTTCAAACTTACCTCTTTTTTTGTTTTCCCTAGCTATAAGGACTATTACTTTTTTTTCAAACTTACCATTTATCTTTTTAGTCAGAAAGTAATCTGTGTGATGTTATCTTATATGTATCCAAATGTTCAGTTCCATACCAGCCATTCACCTACTGATTTTAACATCAAATTTTAATTTTTCCTCAATTAAATATTTCATTGCGGGTTCCAAAATAATGCAAGTCCTTCCACCTTGGTCCTTCTGCCTCACCTTTCAAGTAGCTGGAACCACAGGCATGCACCATCACACCTGGCTAGTTTTTAAAATTTATTTTAGAGACTAGGTCTCCGCCATGTTGCTCAGGCAATCCTCTTGCCTCTGCCTCCCAAAATGCTGGGATTACAGGTATGAGCCACCATGCCCAGTCAGGCTTGCTATTTTTGGTTTTGTTTTATTTGTTTTTAATTGTTATGTGGTTTTTCTGTGCCAGGAGCAGCTCACAGTGTAAATTTAACATCTTCTCAGATCTTGTGCCTTTTCCTGGGTATGCCTGGTGACTTTCTAAATTCCCCTGTGTATGTGGTTGCTTTTGAAATGTCCTAGTTCTTAAACGTCTGGCTTCCTAGAAGGAAAAAATGGTGAAGGAGCAAAAACAGGTGCCAGTCCTTTAAATATGCAGAAGTCCCTTCGGTGGGAAGTGGAAGGGTTTGTAGTAATGGTGGTGGGGTTGCAACAGTGGCTGCCCATCTGTGTCTGCACCTCATAATCAGAAATAGCAATTAGCAGTTAGATCCCCAATATTTGGAAGACAAGGTTTTTATTGCCCACTCTGGCTCCTGCAAGCTATGTGCAAGTTTCTCCAGGAAAATGGGGTGTGTATGAGTAGCCACTGCCTACCTAAGAGTTGAAGTTGACCCAAATTAATTGCAATTTACTCTCCAAGCCTTCCCCTGGAAGTCACAAACCTTTAATATTCTTCATTATTCCAAAATATGGCAGCTAAATTCTTCCAGTGCAATGGCTACCTTGGTGTGGATATAAATTCCTGGTGCTTCCTGCTCTGCTATCTTCCTTATGTCACTTCCTCTATCTGTCACCCAGGCAGGAGGGCAGTGGCACAATCATGGCTCACCTCAACCTGGACCCTCTGGGCTCAGGAGATCCTTCCATCTCAGCATCCCAAACAAGTGCTGGGATTACAGGCATGAGCCACCGCACCTGGCTGGTTTCATATTTGAATAGATTGTTCTTTTCTAGATCATCTTAATGGAAGAGTGGGAATGATGGTGTAGCTTACCCAGTTCCTCAGCTCAAGAGCTCCCTCTTTTTTTTTTTGAGAGTCTCACTCTGTCACCCAGACTGGAGTGCAGTGGCCACTCCTGGCCACCGCAGCCTCGACCTGCTGGGCTCCAGCGATCCTTCCGCCTCAGCCTTCTGAGTAAACGGAATTATAGGCACGCGCTACCACACCCGGCTAATTTTTTGATTTATTGTAGAGATGAGGTCTCGCCAAGTTGCCCAGGCGGGTCTCAAACCCGTGGGCTCAGGCAATCCACTCATCTCAGTCTCCCAAAGGCGCAGGATTACAGAATGAGGCACCAAGCCCAGCTGAGCTCCCTCTTCTAATGCTATAGTACAGACCTGCTCCCACCAACCTCTTTCCTACCCTTTATGCAAGTCACAGTCACCAAGGGATACTGCCCCTGACTTCCCAGACAACCCTCATCCTTTTTTTAGGAAATGTTTTTCACATTTGTCTTTTTTTCCATATCTCCTCCAATGGTGATCTCAGACTTGCCCAAGCAGGTCTCACTCAGGAGAAACCCTCTTCTGTGGGTAAATATTTGCAGGTGGTTTCCAAGTTTTGCTAAAGCCAAGACCTATCTGAAGCTTTCATTCTTCCTACCTTTGTGACTTTTTGCACCTTTCTGATGGTTTGGGGTTTTCTTTCACCCTCGCACTTACATATAATTTGGAATTTGAGCGTTTTTTCAGAGTTTTGTTGAAGGTATAGGTTATGGAATGTTTCATTTGTTCTCCTTGTTGCTTTGTGTGAAATAGAAAACAAACAGGGGGCAGGCAGAAAAAATGTTGAGGAGGAAAAGTGGCATGAGTTACACTTAGGCTTCCGCTGTGCTATCAGCCAGACCAGCATCTTAGAAGGTCCAAGATGGAAAATGGCATGGGGACAGGATCATTCAGGCAAGAGATGGAGAGCTGGATTAGGATAGGGTCTGGGAATGGGGAGGAGGGACATGCGGAACTGGAATTGAGCAAGGGTGAATTTCCTCTGACTTTCTCTCTCAAGGATAATGAGAAGTCAATGTCCATCTTGGACATATCTCCACCTTCTGGAAGCAGTGGAGTGCACACCTCTTGGAACCATGGTCTAGCAGACAGTCTACACTTTCCTCAGAGCACAGAGATGTGGAGGACTCCCTTGCTGTCTGCTGAGGCATCCAGCCAGAATGTAGATGAAGTGGGGCCACAGTTCAGCATGCCACTGCCTGAGCATGGTGGAAGCCACTGTCCCCCAGCGACTCTCAGTCCTCCCCAGATGATATACTATCAAGGAGTGTTTCCCTCTCAGCAAGAGATGATTGTCAAGGGGCCCCAGATTATGCCTGTAGGGGAACCCAATATTCCAGAGGTGACCATGACCTTCAGTGGAAATCTAAGGATGGTTCCCAATGGGCTGCCAGTTTCAGATTCCAGCAGAATCTCAATGGTATCCCACATCAGGGTCCCAACAATGCCTTATCCTGGCCCCTTAACAGTTTCTCAAAGCTCCTCTTTAGCACCTAAAATGTTATTGGTCCCAACTATGCCTCCCACTGAGGCTCAGGCTATGCTCCCATCTTTGGCTCAGATGTTGCCCCATGACCCTGGGATGTCCTCAGCTGAGTCCCAATCATTGCTGGTTTTAGAGCCCCAGGACTCTTGGATAAGTCAGCCAGATTCCCAAGAAGGCCCCTTCCTATGTGAGCAGCCCACACCTGCTCCACAGAGAGCAGAGCAGAACTTTGGGGTCCAGGAAAGGGCATGCAGAGGGGAATTCTTAGATATAAGGCCTTACCGCTGCCAGTACGAAAACTGTGGAAAAGCTTATACCAAGCGCTCCCACCTTGTGAGTCACCAGCGCAAGCACACAGGTGAGTGAATAAGGTATTGAGTGGGGTGTGGACAGAGGAGTCTTTAGATTTGTGATGGCGATTTAGTCTTATAATTGTTTGGGATGAGCCCTTAATTCTTCAAGAACTAAGCTATACTGGCCCCAATGACCTGCCATCCAGAATGACTTTGCCAAGATGATGGGGAGGATGCTACTGATTATGTAGTCCCTCCCTGATTTCCTAGACCTTCCCGTTAAATCCCTATCCTTGACTGCTCTGTCTCATAGACCCCTTCCTTCTTATCTGCTGGTCGATTATTCTAAATTATATCTCTTGTCATCTCCCAGGTGAGAGACCCTATGCATGCAAGTGGCAAGGCTGTATATGGTCTTTCTTCCGCTCTGATGAGCTTGGACGACATATGCGGATACACACCAGCTATAGACCACACAGATGTGATCAGTGCGGCCGACAATTCATGAGATCTGACCACCTCAAGCAACACCAAAGGATTCATCAGCAGATGCCAGTGTCCTCAGACCCACAGACCAACAATGGTAGGATGGATGGTCCTCCTCCTGGTCTGTAGGTCAATCTCCTCATTTTGGATTCTCTACCCAGATCCTGCCTGCCTCTGACCAGCTCATCTCTATGGTAGGAGTAAGCTTGGATAGAGACAGGAAGATTATGAGGCAATGTTGTGGAAGGCCAATGAAGCTCCAGTCCAGTCAGACTCCTCAAAATCCTCAAACTGTCTTGGATCTCTTCTCTGGGGCCACCTGCTTCTGCTGAAGTTTAGCCAGATAGGAAGGTAACACAGTCAAGATTGGGAGCTTTATTAAAAAGCTCTTTATCCCCGTCACTCTCCAGCTTAAAACCTCTTAGTGACTCCTTTGTTACGTATAATCCAAGGCCTTTAACTTGGTCTTCCATAGTTTCCAGAGCCAGATTATGCTCAAATCCTGAATTTACCACCTATAACCCATGTGATCTGAGAAAGATATTTGAAAGCTATGCCTTGTTGCCTCTTCTGGAAAGTGAGGACATTGGTAGTGGACTGTATTGGACACAGCATATGTACTGCATCAGATTCTTTGGCATTTACCTGCCACGTGTGAAGAGTTTGTCTTTCTACCACTTCCAGACTTGGATGGAATGCCCTACCACAGGGCATGAGATCTGACATTCCAAGCCACTAGCAAAGAAGTGTGGAAGAGTCCATACTTATGGGGCTAACATAAGACTAATGGGAAGTGAAAGACTGGAGAGAGTCAGGCAGATGAAATCTCTCTTCCTTCTGTTCTGTGAATTGCTGAAAGGCACCATTTCTCCAAAACAGCACAGCTTATGGGGAGACATCCTGCTGTGCTCCAAGGCTTGTCATGAAGCAGTGTCCAGCTTGGTAACATGTCACCTTGCATTACCTCCTGTTCTTTCCTGTTTTACTTTCAATTTTCTTACCCTCTTGGGTTTGCACATCCCAAATAAAACATGAGTATTTAGTTCTTGTTTGTAGGTTCTGTTTTCCAGGTGATTTGGGGGTTGGAGGAAGAGAAGGACCTTAGACTGGGGCAGATGAGGATGAGCTCCATTGTAACTTCTGGAGAGAAGTAACTCCTCCTCCTACCCCAGGTACCTGGCCAGATATTAAGGGGGCTGTCCTGTCCTGCTGTCCCCTGGGGTCGAGAGGATAATGACTGTCTTGGCAACTTAGCCAGATTAGAACTTTGTTTCCAGACTCAGTAAACTATTTTACTGACCAGCAAGCTAATGGTGAGAAAGGAACCAGGCCAAGCTATCAGGTATAGAGCTGGAATCACAATCAGTCTTTCCTATAGGTGTTTCCTGAACACAGTCTGGTGCCAAGCACAGCCAGGTGATGATCATATAGAGATGAATCAGATCTGGTTTCTGTGCTCAAGGCACTGTTTTGGTCTGAGGGCTGAGAGGTCTGCCTAGGTGTAGCGGCTATGGGAAGAGGAACCCTCAAAGGGAAGGGTCAGAAGGGCTTTCTGGAGGAGGTAACCCTTGAGCCCAGTAAGAGGGTATAACATCTAATAATCCATCAAATATTGAATCAGATGAGTTGAATATAAGAGAAAGATGATTCCAGGCAGAGAACACTAGAGCTAGCAGCTACTCAGAGGAGTTAGCCTGCAAGTCTCTATTCAATCAACAAATATTTTTTGAACCCACAAAACCAAGAGTATCAAGGCTGTCAAGACCTATGGTTAGGAGCACAGGCAACTGAAGGATGTGTTAGGAAAGAAAGACATCCCAAAGGTCAGATGTTAGGGACTCATGGAGGCTCACGATATCCGTTTCTTGACCATAAATCCTTGGCCATGCACTGTGCTGGGCATTAAGAATTCAGCAGTGCATGAAGGCACCCTGTCTCTGCTGTGGAGCAGAAAGATCATGGACAATCCGAATGCTCAGTGCTGCCAAGGAGGGGAGCCAGTCTTCCACAGTCTCAAGCTTACCTGGGTCTCTGGGGAAGCTTCACAGCCTTGGCTGTGCCTGACCCTACCCTGCTTGACCACCTTGGTCTGTTTTGCTAATGGCCCCAGCATACCCAGGATGGACATCCAGGTGTCCTTCATCCAAGCTCCAGAAGAGGAGTGGACATGATTTTAAAAATAAGGGCAGAAGTAGCTCATCTGACCCATTCACTGGTCCCAGGGACTGAGGTCTTGGGTACCCAGTCTTTTTCATTCCTTCCCAGGTTCCCTCCATGGAGCAGGCCATCTCGGGTTTGATGGGCCAGGGCTGGTCTGTACTCCAAACCCCAGCTGGCGTACCCACTGCCCTGTGGGTAGAGTCAGAAGACTACATTATTGATTTTTAGAATGCAAGATGAGAGGTCTGGTTGGTGATCTATCACTTTCACTGAGAAATGGACATGGAGAAGCATCAGAGTGGACAAGGGTGTGTGATGTACACTACAATGATGACCATCGTGGAGGTCACAATCTAGTGGAGGAGGGGTGTGGCTAGTACACAGTGCTGGAAGGACAAATATGGACTTTCTATAATAGATAGGGGTTTAGGAAGGCATTTCAGGTAGAGGAGGTGATGTTGGGGGAAAAATTATCCTGTGCTAGGCAGTGGCTAAACTTTTCCCAGTATCACTCAAAGTAGAATAGTGGGTGGATAAGACTCTTGGACTCTCAAGATTAGCAGATTTTGAATTCTACCCCTGCCATTTCCTAGCTGCATAGCCTTGGGCAATTGTCCCTCTTGTTCCTGATAGCAAGGGAGGTGGTGAGATAGATTCAAGTTGAAGAGAGATAAGGTTAACCACATTTTAAAGTGTTTTCTGCTGGGTGTGGTGACTCATACCTATAATCCCAGCACGTTGGGAGGCTGAATCTAGAGGATTGCTTGAGCCCAGGAGTTCCAGACCAGCCTGGGCAACATAGCAAGACCTCATCTCTACAGAATATACAAAAATTAGCCAGACATGGTGGCACGTGCCTGTAGTCCCAGCTACTCAGGAGGCTGAGGCAAGAGGATTGCTTGAACCCAGGAACTTGAGACCAGTTTGGGCAACACAGCAAGACCATGTCTCTATAAAAAAATTTTAAAAATTACTCTGTGGTGCACACCTGTAGTCCCAGCTATTCGGGAAGCTAAGGTGGGACAATTATCTGAGCCTGGGAGGTCAAGGCTGTGGTGAGCCAAGATTGTACCACTGCACTCCAGACTGGCTGAGAACGCCAATTTTTAGAAAAAGTGTTTCCTTTCTGTGTGGAGATTGGATTAGAACAGGGGTTTAAGAGAAGGGATTTCAGTGTTTCAGGTGAGAGACAAGGTTAACTTGGGCCAAAATGTGATAGTGGAAGCAGGGAGTAGAAAGTGATCATCAATTGGATTTGGTTGGTAAGGGCATGGTCAAGGGTGGCTCAGATTTCAGACTTGTTTAATTATAAATAATACAGAAGAATGGATAAGCTTCGTTAATTTTCTATTTATTGTGATCCATCATACATGCCAAAAATATTCTGTATATATTCAACTTAAAGAATAATAATAAAAATAGGTCACTTGAGAAAAATAATTTGCTAATATATTTCAAGTCTCTTGTCCTTCTCAGAGGAAACGGCTAATTTAAATTATTTTTGCCTTTGCTATGTATTTATTTTTTAACCATACATGTCTATTCCTAAATAATGTAGTGATTGGTTTTGTATGGTTTTGAACCTTATGTTTATTCTTTCATTCTGCAGGTTTCTGTCTTAAATTTTGGTCATTCTTAAATTTTGGCCATTGTTTTGTCAGGTTTTTGGGTCCCCCTCCACCTTCTCTTTCTAATGCGTTCTGCCCATATAGTAGACCACTTAATGCTGTCCCACTGGTCACTGATGTTCTGTTCTTTTTTTTCCATGTTTTAAAAAAATATCTCTGCTTCATTTTAGATGCCTTCATGTTCACTGATCCTTCTGCAGTATCTAATCTGCTGTTAGTTCCATCCAGTGTTTTTCATTTTTGGATATGGTATTTTTCATCTCTAGACATTCCATATTTTCCATTTCTCTCCTTATGCTCATGTTTTCCTGTCTTCTTGAACATAAGCATATTTATAAAGACTGTTTTAATGGTCTCAGATGCTAGTTCCATAATATTTGTCATTTTGGGGTACATTTTAATTCAGTTTTTTTTCTCTCCTGGTAATTTTTCCCTTTTTTGTTGGAGTTAGGGTCTTACTCTCACCCAGGCTGCAGTGCAGTGGCTTGATAATGGCTTACTGCAGTCTTAGCCTTCTGGGCTCAGGTGATCCTTCCTCCTCAGCTTCCTGAATAGCTGGGACTACAGGTGTGTGCCACCATGTCTAGCTTATTTCCCTGAGTTTTTTTTTTTTTTGAGTTGGAGTCTCACTCTGTCACCCAGACTGGAGTGGAGTGGCACACTCCTGGCCACTGCTGCCTCGACCTGCTGGGCTCAATCCTTCCACTTCAGCCTTCCAAGTAGCCGGAACTACAGGCACGCACTACCACGCCAGGTTAATTTTTTGATTTATTGTAGAGATGAGGTCTCACCAAGTTGCCCGGGCAGGTCTCGAACCCGTGGGCTCAGGCAATCTACGCACCTCGGCCTCCCAAAGTGCTGGGATTACAGGCTGAGCCACCAAGCCCGGCCCTTTTTTTTT